AGAATTACATAAATGTGCATAAGACACTTAAATGTAATTTGTTAGAATTAATTTACATAAGAATTACCTATTAAATTGTTAAAACTAATTGATAAAGTTATTAAAAGACATTTAGTTTTTATTTTTTAATAAATAAATTAAAAAGCAAAAGTCAAAAAATTAGATGATACATGTCAGCTTCTCATAATTTTGGTTTTAAGAAAACCTTAAAATTATATATTATATTTTTTTGTAGATGCTCTAAATATCTCCACATTTCATATTTAAATAGAACTTCGCTTTCTCTTCAAATCTCCACTAAATGCATATGCTAACATAATTCACTCGTCGAAGTAAGATCAATTGCTTTCGCCTTTGTTTCTCTTTCTCTCCAAAGATTCATTTAATCGACCACTAAATAAATTTCTCCTATATGTGACTGTTTTCTCTTCCCTTGACCTAAGTCCCTATATAGGCCCGTATGCACTTTTGCTTCTCTACAGGAAAGAGACTCGTTTTCGTGGACAACTCAGACCGTCAGACTCAATCCAGAAATGAATATGAATTGTCTATAATTCGATATCAAAGAATGAGAATACCATGATTAAATCAACTCTAAAGCACAAACAAATCTAAAGTCGAACAATGAGTGAGCAATACTACTACATCAATCCCAAAGATTCAGACCAACTTACTGTCATTACATATATGATCGAGATTAACCAGTCGTCTAAATATTCCACAACGAGTGGTGCAACGCAGCTGTTTCTATCAATGTATACAATTTAATAGTCACATACTAGGTTCTCACATTTGTCCCCGTTGTGATACAGTTATTTTCAAGAGAAATTTAAAAAAATGTCATTTTTCAAACGTTTCTATTCAAAAATGCCATATTTCCAAAATCTTTGCAAAAATATCACTTTTTCAAAATAAAAAATTTCATTATATCATTTATATTTGGGTTAACTATGTTGTATTAGGGTTTGGTTTTGAAGGTTTAAAGGGTTTTATGGGTTAAAACATGTTTTAGGGTTTATAATTTTAAGATTTAGGCTTTAAAAATCCATAATTAGTAGTATTTTTGCAAATAGACATCTTTAAATGACATTCTTGCAAATATACACTCCAAAAGTGGCATTTTTGCAATTGCCCATATTTTCATCTCTATTCGATAAATAATTACACTTCTAGTTTTAAGATTAACAGATTTATCAAAAAGATTACCAGATTTTCTTAGTTCTTCCGATCAATCGGATGAAATCGCCGGGTGCAAGCCAGCTCTAAGTCACAACACTACTTTGTTTCCAACAGAAAAAACAACTATAAATCTTTGAACAGATACATCCAAAAGGTTGAGAAGAAAAAAAAACACATACAAACAAGAGATTTCTTTCTTTAGTGTTTTGCGATTTTTATTTAATTTTCATAAAATTTTAATTAAAGGTATTATATGATTAAATAAATATTCCAAACTTATTAAAAAAAAAGTTTAAATTCACAAAGATATGGAAGAAA